CAAAGCTTCTCACTGATTGACCTATAGCAGTTTTCCCAAAGGTTCCCAGACATCAACGAAGATTTGACCAACCTTGGCAATGTTCTAAGTCATTAACCCATGCTCTGGGTCATGCTCTGCCGGCTGAGTTCCTGAGGGTTCATCACTCGGCAATTGACGGACTTGAGGCAGAACGGAAATCGCGGACAGCGAGTACGGAAAAGAAGCCACCAAAAGGACAAGCTGAACAGCCTTCTAGCCCATTCCATATGTACCAGGGACCGTCTTATAAGCTAGTCTCTCAATCTCTCTCCAAACAACAAGGACATGGCCGGATTGTCTCGGTTCGGTTCGGATCGAGGGAAGATGACCACGTCACCCACGCCACGTGGCCAGGGAAGCAACGACGTGGTCTCCGTCTCCCCGGTCCGAAGAGAGTCGCCGGGCGGTCCAAGCACGTGTGATGGGGACAGAGACAGGGAGACAGCGTGGTCCAGGTGTGGTTGGAAGATAGAATGTGAAAGGGTGATGTACCGGTACGTACCGATTTGTAGACCAAAGCTGATTAAGATGAGGAAAGTAAGCCTTCCAGGCCCTTGAGACCATTCCATACTTTTTTGAAGCATGGGTGTCCTTTTCGACACTGAAGTTCACTTCGTGAACAGTCGGTGGGCAGAAACCAACATCAGCTAGCTGCATTGGCGTTAGTTCGCTTTTCTCCATCCCTAGGGGTCCACATACCCTCTGAGAGACACTGTTATGTAGGTTTGGAGGGTCCAGTCGTACCTTCTGAGGTTCGATACGGCATGGTCGACCTCTCAGTCCCGGTGTGGCGTTTCTGGGGCGGAAGAGCCGAACCAATCAAGTTAAGGACATGTGACATCGAACCAATCCAAGAGAGGTTTTATAGTTTGTGACCTGAAAAAGGACCCGGAAAACCATGGGATAGGCTATCGGGTTCTGAAAACACCTTTGGATTGTCCAGCGGCTTGCGGTGTTTTGGGCCACGGATTCCGGCTGCCACGGCGCCCTGATGGACGAGGCTGGGATGGACGAGGCAGCTGTGGACCTCCTGGGGCTTCTTTCGCACGGTGAAGAGGTCCTTCCGAATTGTGTCTCTATCAAGAGAATCATGCAGAAAAAAGGGTGCTGTATGACTGAGAGATTCTGTCACTGCCCAAATGTTGTGTTTAGACATATTAGATTATACCGTACCGTACTATACAACATATAGAAACCTTTCTGGCTGGACATGGCGCATGGCGGCGCTTCAGAGATCAGCACCGAACTCGTCAGGACGGCAGCCTGACAGTTTGGTCTGCCACGCATCGCGCCGAAGGAACGGACCCATGACCGTGTGCGTTCTTGGGGCCATGACCACGAAAACACTCGAAGCAAAGAGACAAAAAGAAGCTGCCCCTGGCATTGGAGACTGGCAAACATGTTGGGGATCGTTTGTTCTTTGTTGAGCCAAGATTGTGTGGTGAAACACATTGATTGGTCGCCCACAAATATGTTTTGTGGGAGAAAAAGCCAAGATGTGCAGTGTTGCTCGGTTGCTCGCTTCCTAGTCACCCAGCCAAGGAGAACAGGGGGGGTTAACATGAGAAGAACGGAACACGGAACACTGTCGCTTTGGAACCCCGGAACCCCCCCGAGATGAATGTTTGGAACTTTAAATGGACATGGACATCACAACCCTTTTGTTTGGACCGCTTCAAACGGGAGCCCAGTTATGACCTGCAAGCAAGTCTTCATCTTGCCAACGTATGCAGGGTGGAGTCCATGGATGGATATAGATGGCCTTTTACTGCTGGTTGGTTGATTAATAGCCCCCAAGTGAACAACCAGTAGGTATATGTTATTAACATGTATTAAATCGACCCCTCTATCATTTCCAAGTACGGACATCATTGGTGGAGTCTAATGTTCTCAACTTGAAGTCCGTTGCAAACCCCGGTGCATCGAGTAGCCATGCCAATGTGCTTTGACCGACCTGTCCACGTCGATCCGCCCGCGCGGAGAAGGCTTGCGCGGTTCAGCATGCTGTAGCTGTCAGCTTGAAACAGGGGTGACAGCCTTGCATGGGTGGGTGGTTTTTGTGCCGACCAAAGCTGATGTCATACTCCCCGAAAAGATGGAACATGGCAAGTGAGAAGGGTCAACCCTTCGGTTTTCCTGTGATCTCGATGACGCTTTTGAGTTTCCATGCCGGCCACTGGGGTGGTCATGCACATGTGGTTTCATTAAACTAAGAGGGACACGTGTATGCAAGGATATGCAAGGATATCAGACAACCTCCAAATCCTTGTGAAAAGACTCATTCCATTGCAGGATTTTGCTTGAGACGCTTTTGGACAAACTTAAATATGAATAGGTTGAATAGGATTGAATAGGTACATATGCCAATCCTCGCATCAAAATCCTTGAACACCGACGCCTGCTTCTTCGCCCGCCGTGTTCAAGTCTGTAGCACAGATGCTGCGGACAGGGAGGGGAGCAGTGACCGGACCGACGTTGCGACGGAAGACCCAACAGAAGACCCCCCAAACCGAGGGACGACGCAGATCCATAAAGAGCATCCTACATGAGCTTCCCTCAAGCGCGATAGCTCCGGTTGCGAACGATTCAGCACAGAAGCCGCCTTCTGCGTCGAACGATTCACCGAAGCGGTCTGGAAGCGGTGAACGGTCTGGAAGCGGTTGTGTTCGGTGAACTCGAGCGCGCAGCAGTCACCATGCGATCGATCGTATGATCCTTTTGACCCATCTTCCAGCAAAAGCCACCCGTCAACCCATCGTCATGCACAGGTCACTCCCCCAACATCCGAACATCGCCATCTGGACCTGTCTCAGAAGGATGCTCCCCCAAACAAGTCCGACGACGTCAACCCCACGCCCCCCCCGTGCTTCGCACCGCCACACCGGCCCCGGATCCGTCCGTCGAGACCTCGCGGCGGTGGCTCGGGGGCTGTCCACGCGTCGGATGGCCAGGAGGCGAGTCGGGCGAGTCGGGGCAAAAGCTAAGACCATTCCAATCACTTCCTGGACTCCCAGACCTCGGGGTGGACGACACCGCGAAGGAGCTCTTTTTCAAAAGTGACACCCGGAATCCGTGGGGCTGGTTGGGTCTAGATGATGTACCTTCGTTTTTGTTGTCCAGAAAGGCCGATAACAATCATCCATTGGGCTGGATATACCCAACCAATCACTGAGTCGTCGTATCCAGCTGGATTGAAATCCAGCCCCAAGTTTTGGCTCCACGAACGGTCCAACCCCTATCATTCCATTCGCCGAACGCGTGGAGCAAAAGGGCGAACCAAAGGAGCATAGCCTAGCGAACGACCTGTCTATCTATCCATCAAGCGGAGGGGGTCCATGCGTGATGTCAATCAATGGAGCATGAATTTACCATATTTATGATATCACATTGTGTTGTTGCTGAACTCAACAGGCGCCGTGCTTTTGGGACGTTTCTCAGTGTCTCAGAGACATCTTCGCTTCTTATGATTGCATTGCATTGATTGCCGGGCGGGGCAGGTGTCCACAAGTGATTCGGTTGGTCGGGGCTTGGCCCCCCATCGCTTCCTCTACAAACCATTTTAGAGTCCATGTGGTCCCATGTGGTCCTCTTCAGCGGGGGGTAAATTCAAAAAAACATACTCCCTGCAACTGTACATGGAAGTGGACGTCCACTTCCATGATTGTTGGAGAGAGGGTAATCATCATTCAATTCCAAACATTATGACAACATGCTTGACTACAAACAGCCGATCGACTATAGATGTCATACTAGATGTCATATAATTGACGGAACTAAAGACGCCACATAGTCTCGTCCATTTGTAACTAGCACCTTTCCAAAAGGGAACTGGGTCTTTGGGTGTGTCTTTGAATCAGCTCGATCGTTTGCCGCCTTTGCCGCCTTTTCCTTTTCCCCGAGTTGAATGCAAGCGTATTGCAGGCACAATTTCATGTGCACACTGCTCAACTGCCACAGCTGATCAACACTTGAGACATGTCAAGACTAGACCTATAGTTAGACCTATCTATGAGGCTTTAAGTTATCAGAGTGGCCACTGAGCTAACCCTAAAGAGTGACCAGGATCTATCAGGCATCCATCGCAACATCCACATCCCCCGCATTCGCGACAGCGAGGTATCGCTTCACTGCAGGGTGATCTTTGGGACCCTCAGCCATAATCCACCTTGATCCAGTCACACAAGGCATCAAAGTGACACAAGGCACAAGTTTTCCCTACTTTGTGTGTCATGCGACGCTTGGTGTCCAACATACTTGTAAGCTAAGGCATGGACACACTGAGGGTATCATGTTGACTAAAGTTCCCTACCTACCCTTCAAACACATCCTTGCGTTGGCCACATGGTTGAGCCTGGGCACTCCAGCCGAGCCTTTGCAGCAGCTCGCATGCACTTTCCGGGGGACAGCTGGGCACTTTTGGCGGCTTTATGGGCAGTGGAGTACACCTAGGACCACACGTTGTTACAACTGAAAGTTTTTACAAACAACATACTATCCTCTTGACACTCACAGCACCCAATTGGATGATACAAATGCACATGTTCAATAATTAAGCTTAAGCACGCTATGCATTTTCTTTTGCACCGTGTCTTTCACTCTCACACACTGGCTGCCATTGTTTGCGGGCCGTGCTTGCGCTTTGGCTTTGGGGGATTGCTTGCGTGCCAACCTGCCTCCTTGTGTGTTGGCTTTGGCTGCTTTGCGTTTGGCTGCTTTGCATTTGGCTGCTTTGCATTTGGCTGCTTTGCCTTTGGCTGCTTTAGATGTGGGCGATGATTTTGCTTTTGCTTTTGCTCTTGAGCTGGCCCTCTGAGTATCCTTGGAGTTTCCCTTTAGTGTCTTTGCCTCATCCATGAGATGCTTGGGGAGTTCCTTTGGAGTGTCACGCATAATGACCTCCCCTGGTGTCCGCGGTTCTGATGCAGGGGCTCCTTCCTCAATCTCCACCAGGGCCGTTGACAGGTCGGTCTTCTGTGGTGATCCCAAGTGTGTTGCATCTTCCAGGGCTAGTGTAGGAGGTTCGGTGTCTTCCAGGGCTGGTGAGGAAGTCACACCAACCACAGTGGTGGAGGCAGACCCAGTGACACCAAAGTCCTCCGGAGTGGGGGGAGGGAGGTTTAGTGACACCAGTGTCATCCCCTGTGGGTGGGGGGAGGTCCAGTGACACCAATGCCCTGCACTTCCCCAGCTGCATCCTGAATGCACAAAAACAGGTTACCATTTTATCGCTCTTTGCAAAGCCTCAACAAACTCACCACAGCCAAGGTGGGATACATTGCTGTCCTCATGGCCGTGGACCACCTCCAGGATACCAAAGTCCTCATGAGCATTGCTCCGGTGAAGCTTGGGGTGGGAGTCCTGGAGGAGGGTCAATTATCCACAGATTATTCCATTGATAGTTTAAACAATAAAATACTTGATACGAGCCCCCCCAGTCCTCACGATAGGGCGACTCTGCAAACTCTGGAGAAGCCAACAATGTGTCAGGCAAATCGTAAAGGTCACACTCTTCCGTCAACGCCTTCAAGGAAACTAGACCCAGTTATCAGCCCCGCAAACAAGATTGCTCAACAAAACGCATTTGCCTTGTTTTCAACCCCACCATGATGCTTACAACAACCCCAAACAGTCAAATGTGGTTCATCCATATCCAGGATCAACAGGCTTATAATGGTTTGTTTTCCTGTTGGTTCCCGCCACAAAAAAAGCACGATGCAGCATTGTACCTAAATGTTTCTTCATTCATAACACACATGGAGTATGCGAAGAGAATTTAATGTAGCTGGTTTGTGGCCAAGCTGGTTTGTGGCCTCACCATCATCATAGTAGCCAGGAAGGCCAAGCTGGTTGTCAGGCAACTCTGACCTAAGCCAAAACAAGTATGTAAGCCTTCACCATAATTCTGACCGTAGACAAGTTGCAGAGGTGGGTCCTGCATGATCTCGAATGTTTGCGACCTGACCATATGAACACGACAAGTATGTTTTTACAAGGCAAGTAAAGATCAAGGTTGCCAATGTGTCCATGGCCTGTAGTTGACGTAGTCATCAACACCTTCAATCATGTACTCGAATGGCTTTGAGGCAGGTACCTGTTCGATGGATCTAAATCTATTTGCAGTGCATTGAACAAGGCTGAACCATATTGGCATGAACTGATGGACAAACCTCCCACATAATTCCCAGCCTCCCAAGTGTTGTTCTTCTTCTTAGCAGACGGTCGCTTCTTGGCCCCAGTCTGTTTCGCTGCTGGTCGTTTCTTGGTTGACTCGTTGTTATCACCCTCTTCTTCGATCAAAGAATCCAAGCCCTCAAGACCATCAAACAGGTCATCATCATTCTGGTCATCGTCCGTTCCATCACCGCCCAACGGGTTGTGGGCAGCGTCAGACTCTTCTGCCTTTTGTTTCTTGCTCTTCTTTTCTTTCTTGTCTTTCTTGTCTTTTGTGTCTCTCGTGTCTTTCTTGTTGTCTTTCTTGTTGTCTTTCTTGTTGTCTTTCTTGTTGTCGCAAGGTTTCCCTCCCTTTTCCTGCGGCGAGGACTCTTCTGAAGATTGGAAGCGATCAGGCATGATGTTTGCAGACTGGTCAGCAGCGGTTTTGCCTGATCTCAGGTCAGCGGGACAAGGCAACAATAGGGGATGGACTTCACAATTGACACCCCCCTTTGCAAAGGGAAAAGAGCAATGTAAGCGCAGACTAGCTGCTGGAACCTGCAGTACTGGTCCTTTCTGCCACTGGATTTGGTCGGGAAGACATACTGCCCGCAGATTGTCCAGGTTGTGCGCTCATGATCCTCTCCAAATCAAACGCCTCGAAGGAGGCAGATTTTCTGTATTTCTTGCAAAAAAAAAACGCAAGTCCTCATGACCATTTTCAGGCTGTTGGTGTCCATCATGTATTGAATTCACAAGTTGTTTTTGCAACTGAGAAACAGGGGGTTTGAAAGAATTCGAAGGTGCAACGAACTGCACATCCGAGTCATCACTGTCGTGACGGGAGATCTTCTTCTGTTGGCCAGCCATAGCAGCAAGTTTGAGTGAATAGTAGCACCTGATCCTGATTACTAGCCAAAACCCTTTCAAGCCAGACAGCTGATTTGGTGTATGGTCCTGATTAAAGTGCATTGACTATACACATGACTGTCCACACTGTCCAGCACATCGCATGATGCCGCCTTGGAGGCAAGCAAAGCAAAGCAAGAAAAGCAAAGTACCAGCCATGAGGTGCTTCTGCAGGACCGTCAAACTTTTGCCGATTCAACTCGTTCCGGTTGGCCGGTGTTGCTTCCAAGAGATGCACTCTCAGCTCATGAAGGAAGAGCCAAATTGTCATTTCATTGAAGAACAGTCAAAACATTGTCACCATCCGACATTCCATGGCATTATTGAAGCATAGCTAGAGTGCCACAAGACCAGTATGGTCATGTCAAACTGGAGACCGACATGGTCTGCAAAACCCTTGAAACAGCTCAGACTAGTTCAAGAAACAGTCTGCCTATGGTTGCATCAAGGCATTGGCCAACAAACGCAATGGTTACTACGCTACAGTGACAATAGTTTGTGACAATAGTTTGCTACAGTACTGAATTAGGCATTGGTTTGGCCCTTTGCTTGACACTTCCCCCGGTGCCCGCCCTCTCTTCAGAACAGCTTCACCACTGCGTCTCCAAGATCCAAGACGCCCGACACACAGGCCACAGGCCTAATAGGAACAATGCTTTTCATCCCAGAGCTACTGCTCGAATCCAACCTGCACAGCATGAAGGGTGTCCCATCCTCATCCTCCCATCGGATTTGTGGCAGGGAATGTGGCTTCAATCAATAATGAAACACCAGGACCAGGACAAATACATGTAGACAATGATTCTACTATTCAATTGGTTTTATGTTGTCAAGGGGTGCCTGGCTCGCCAGCCAATCACAAGTCTGTTGGCTTTCTTGAGTTTCGGGATAT